AGCCTGGGCTACATAGTGAGTACAAAACCTGGGCTACACAGTGAGAGGCTGTCTAAAAAGCTGAATGCAGGTATTTTTGTCCCACCTGTACCCAGGGAGAAATGAGGAGGTGTCAGGACTCAGCTTCGGGAACCTCCACCGGCCCCCACTCCCCGCCTCTGCTCCCACCAGCCAGGCCCAGCGGGTTCCACCCCTCTGCCTGGCTCCGCAGCAACTGAGGCCTGCCCGGGCCGGCACCCGCCTAGCCGGTTGGGGCAGCGCCCTCGCCCACAGCGCCCACTCTGCAGCTGGCTCTGCGCCTCCCTGGGAGGGGAGAAGCCCAGGGGAAGCCTCACCCAGCTCCCGCCCTGCCTGGGAGCCGGAAGGCTGCAACAGGGCTCCCCCAGCCCACACTCCACAATCCGGAGCAGGTAGGCAGGGCTTGGGGGTCTCTGACCCCCCTCACAGCTGTCTTCCACACCCACCCAGGGAGGTGGCTTCCTGCAGGTGTCCAGGTTAACAACTCGGACAATTCTGACACGCTAGAGTTGGAAAAGTAAGTGATTTTCTTCTTTTCATTACTGGGGATTGAACCCAAGACCTTCACACTGAGCTTGCCCAGCCTGACGCTTGCCTGGACCGTCTTCATTTTATTTATTTGTGGTTTTTTTGTTTGTTGTTTTTGTTTTTTTGGTATGAGGAATGAACCCAGGACCTCGAGTTTGCCAGGCAAGCGCTGTGCCACTGACCTATATCCCTGGTCCTTGTTCTGATTTTTAAGACAGAATCTCACTATGGAGTCCAGCCTGGCCTCAAACTCACAGTGATCCTCCGGCCTCAGCCTCCCAAGTGCTGGGAGACTTCATAGTTCTGAAGCAGAGGAGAAAGGACAAACCTTCCTAACAGATGAACATCAGTGAATAAATATGGAATGAATGATGAAAATAGAGACTCACTGCCAGCTCCCCAGGAAGCACAGGGCACTAAGTAACGGTAAGTTGTGGCCCGTTTGGAGCCCAGCCTGGGGCACACAGCAGCCCTGCCTCACCTCGGGACACAGCTCAGTTGTAGAGTGCTTGTGTAGTTTGTGTAGCACGTGAGGCACGCTTGAGGCCTGGATTCCTTCCCCACTACTGCAAACAACAGCAACGAACAAAAAACCCAGCCTGGCACGGTGACACATGCCTGTGATCCCAGCACTGGGGAGGCTGAGGCAGGAAGATTGCAGAGAGTTCCAGGCCAACCTGGGCTACATAGTGAGACCCTGTCTCAAAAAACAAACAAACAAATAAACCACACAAAAAATACCCAAAGGTGAAAAGAGTTTTAAGGAGAAGTAGGACATTTGGCTAGCCAAGCTTCTCCTGTTTTATTTGTTAATTGTCATCAATGATAATTTATTCATACTTGAAATATTTTGTTCACAAATTCTTTTTTTTTTTTTTTCTTTTTAGTTTCAGGTAGGATTTTTTTTCCTTTTCCTTTTTTTTTTTTTTGAGACAGGGTTTCACTATGCAGTTCAGGCTGGCCTTGAACTCACAGCAATCCTCCT